GACTCTGGGCTTGGAGCATTTGGAGATGGTGAGTAATGCTCGACGTGAGTAAAATTGCTGAAATGGGCGTGTTCGAGAGAAACTCACGCCTCCCCTCCTCTCCTCTCCCCTCCCCCCTCACCCGTCCACCCCATTCTCCTGCAAATCAGGGCCCGCTGAGTCAGCATCTCTTTGACCCGACTCGCCACGGCCACCGTCCGCTGACGTGGACGGAGCGGCTGGTGGTGGCGGTGGACGTGGCGAGGGGCGTGGAGTATCTGCACAGCCTGGCGGGCGGGCGTGACTCCATCGTGCACCGCGACTTAAAGCCCGCCAACGTGCTTCTGGACAGCCGGCGCCGTGCCAAGGTGGCCGATTTTGGCCTGGCGAAGCTATTGCTGCGACCGATGCTGCCGCCCGGCGGAGGATCAGGGAGGGAAGGGGGGTGTGGCAGAGGGATGGATTCGGAGATTGCTCCGTCAGTTGAGACGCGACTGGCTGGCACGTTTGGGTATCTGGCGCCGGAATACGCAGGTGCGGCTGGGATGGGTGGGTGGGGAAGAGGGTCAAGCGAGATGGGCAGAGTGGATGTGTGCGGGTCAGGCGGCAAGGTAGATTGGGCTTGTTACGCCAGAGTGGGGATGCTTCTTGTCACATCATCCTACTCCATCCTGCACTCCTCCAAACCCCATCCCACGTCATCCCCATCTCATCTCATCCCATCCATCAACTTCCCACCTCATCCATAGCCTGTGCCCCAATTTTCTCTCTCCTCACTCTCATCCCGTCTGCCCGCCAGCCATGGGTAGAGTGACAACACGCTCGGACGTCTACAGCTTTGGCGTTATCCTCATGGAACTGTTCACTGGCCGGCGAGCCGTGGACACATCCCGGCCTGATCTGTCAGCGCATCTAGCCACGTTCCTCCTCCCCATCATCCCCGACCGCTCCAAGCTTGCCCAGGTGGGTGGTGATGTGGAAAGAAGCTGGGAGGAGAACTGGGAAGAGGGGGAGATGGGAAGGTGGGAAGGGAGCCACAGGGTCAGAGGAAGTGGAGGGAGGTTGTTCATGACGTCATCTTAGGCAGCAGCGACAATTCAACCATGCCAGAAAATTGATAGGTGAGATCTTCCCCTATCGATCGTCTGACCTGCATCTCTATTTTCTCCGCCCTTCTTTCCAGGTGGTGGACCCTGCCATAGCAGCAGGCATGGCAGACCACGCCAGTCAGGCGTTTGCCTCGCTGTGCAAGGTGGCAGATCTGGCGCTGCACTGTGTGGCTGCTGACCCGCGCCAGCGACCCTCCATGACAGACGTGGTCACGGTGCTCGCGCCACTCGTCAGAACCTGGGCCCCTTCGGTACGCTGCTCTTGCGCATCCCTGCATCCCTCACGTTGCCCCATTCTTCACCCTGCTCCCATTCCTCCTGCCACCGGCCCTTTTTGTTATGTTCTAATGAGCGACATGGCTCTGTGTGGCTGGTCCCTTTTTGTGATGCAGGAGGTCGTTCATGCACAGCAGCAGGGGGAGAGTGACACAATGGGGATGACCCTAGATGTGGCAGTGCAGTACTGGAAGAGCCTTGATGAGCAGGGATCATCAGGCAGCTATGGTTACACGTACGGAAGGAGCCAGGATCACAAGCACAGTGAGGGTCTTGCAGACAGTAGCAGCTCAGAGTTTCAAGAAAAGGTTGGGGTTTATGGCAGCAGCAGCGATGAAGCATGTGGCATCCACAGCAACTTCTCGCCAAACTTTCAATCAAATGAGCGTGGTGCTTTCAGGTGTCATGACAACAATGATTCTGGTAGTGACGTGGAATCGCCTGTGGCCTCTGTTACTTGTGGCGGCTTGTTCTCGTCTGGAGGTCGCGACCAGCAAGCAAGGGTGGAGCAAGAGGATCATATACTGCTGCTGTCATCACGTGCTGGAGGGAAAGCGAAAGGAGAGTTAGCATCAAGAACAGTTGAAGAGGAAGCTGCACACGGCAAAGCCACTGAGCTTTCTAACAGGTCGGGGAGTAACAGTTTTCCAACATTTGCTGATCCGTCAAAAAGTCTGGTTGGTAGGTAGTGCCAAGATTGTTGTGTTTGGAACGGGGTTGCTGAAATTATTAAATACCGTATGGTCAGATTACATTCATTAATTGATGAATATACAGTAGCAGGGTTAGACTCTGGTAGGTTTCTGCAAAAAAATGGGAAAGCGTATTTGCTTTCAAACTTCAATGGCGATCTTGCCCGAACCATTGTGTCTCTGCAATAGCTTGTAAAACTCTACGGCCTTCACGTTCACCTGCAAAGAATATCAGAAAGTCAGCCCAATGTACAACTGTTGTACAAGGTAGATTGAATACAGAAAGTAGACATACCTTGACTTTGCCAGCATCAAAGCCCAGAAGTCGAAGACCTTCAAGAGACCGGACCCGAGAGAGAGCGACATAAACCATTCCATAGTCGAACGCCCTCTTAAGGTCAGTTTCCACCCTGTCCAGGGTCATTCCCTGGCACTTATGCACACTGAGGGCCCATGCCAGAGTCAATGGAACTTGCCAGCGCTTGGCAATCTCAGTACCATATTCCTCAACAGCCCAGCTTTCAGGACCAATTATTCGCTCAGACTGGTCACATGCAAAGCGAACCACGGGCCACATCCCCGAGGGGTTGATGACGGGAGCCAGATGCCTAAACTGTGCAGCAGACGGGTGAGCAGGGTCGCAAAAGCCAACCACAACACCTCTGGCACCATTAACAAGCCCTTGGGGAGTGTCTAGATTCTGCAATGTTTGAGTGCACACATGTCATCACAGAATGCATGTCTGAATGGAAACAAGTAGACAAAATTGACAGTGTTGGTACCTTGATAAGCATGACTTGAGCACCACGGCGCAGTGTCAGACGCTTTTCAGCTCGCGTGAATTCAAGCTGCTTCTTGGCATATTCGCTTTTCCCCTCATCCTTGGCATTGTACATCATTTCCATCTCTTGGAGCTCCCGGAGCCGCTGAAAGTTTTCTCCTGCTACATCTGCCTGAAACAGGATGCAGTGTCAGATGGTTGGCAAAGGATGCAAACAAAACATCCAACAAGCAGGCACACTCACTTGACAATATAGCATTGTGCTCACCTTGTACGGGTATAGCTTTGTCAGCATGATGCCATCGTTTCCGATTGGAGCACAGTTAATACGCTTCCTCAGTCTCTCCTGAGTTGCAGGTGTGACAATGCCTTCCCTAATTTCGTTCAACATGCTCACAAACGAGAGGTCTGACTGCCTGAACACATGCTTCAACTCCATCTGCAGATTGAAGCAATCATTCCAGCACTTCGCCTCGAAAGCGTAAGCGACGTTACTCTGAGGATTCACTGGAGGGAGTTGGAAAAAATCGCCAGTTACAAGAAGCTGAATGCCTCCAAAAGGCTTGGACGACTTGCGGATTTTTCTTGCGATGAATTCAAGGTTATCCTGAGTGCCAGCATCAGAGAGGGGATAATCAGTGCGAGTAATATGGACAAAGGACACGAGTTGTCAACGTTGCAAAGGTAAACTCACAAAAAACTGGGCATCGATCATGCTGATTTCGTCAATGACCAGTGCTCGTGCACCTTGCCACCTCTGCCTTGCTTCTCTCCGAGTCTGGACCTTATGCAGCAAGTCTTCTTTAGAACCGTTTCCTAGACCAACTCCAGCAAATGAATGGAGCGTAGTTCCTGAAAGAGCACAGGCAGCAAGGCCTGTCGATGCCGTCACATAAACGGCATCGCTCCCATGCATAGCCCTGAAAGTGTAAAATAACAGTTTTAGTCATCTACGGAGGGGACAACGTGGAATTTTTTTATAACGGTATCCCTACCTCAGTGAGCGGATAGCGAACTCGAGCACAAAGCTCTTACCAGTCCCTGCACATCCTGTCACAAAGACAGACTTGCGCATAGAGACGGCAGACAGTGCCTTCATTTGCTCTCCAGAGAGCTTAACGTCTGAACGCTTTTTCGGGTCTTGCTGCTTAGGCTCGTTGACTTGGTCGGACTGAGTAACAGCAGGGGTGTATGGTGGAGGAAGATTCTCCGGCGGAATAACATTTTCGATTCTCCTCTTTTTAAACGGCGTGTCGGCATTAACGGAAGCTCGCAAATTGGCAGCTACTGCAGGCACGCGCTCGAGCGCATTTCGTCTAATGGCTGCTTCTCGCCTCTTAATTGCTTCCAGCCTATTTCTCTCAATCCTTTCGAGCTGATCTGGTGATAGCTGAGTTAACCGAGGGCAATCCTGGCTTGACATGGCGCTCTCGACGTCTGGTGTCATAGTCATCACACTGGTGAGAGCACTGGTGGAAGCGCACACACCGAAACTAAGAAACCAGAACAGAAGCTGAGAATGCTTGAAAGGTGAGTGGTACGGTTAGGGACTGTTTGAGTATGAATTGGAAGGGGTGTGGGCTGGGTGGATGGAAAGCGAAACACCAACGTGACGCTTCTGCCGGAAGGCGGGAACTTCTGAGGGATGCTGTCCCTTGAGCGTCAAATATTGTTCACGGAAGAGTGTCCGCGAAATATTGTTCACGGAACAGTGCCCACGGCGTTTCAATATTGCATTACAAAAAGGACAGTGGTGATTTTGGGCCAACCTAAGTTGCAATGTCAAGACGTGGACCAGACTGACATCAGCCCAAGGTTGCACTTGCCATCGCTGCAAGCTAATGCTGGGCTGTTGGTCAGATTCTGGTCACGTAGCTGCATCTAGTCTAAGACATCACCGTACAATTAGCCATGGCCCCGCTTCTACCAGTTCTGCATCCAGGCCAGGCTAAAAGTGTTGTCAATGCTCCAGCTTGGTATGATGATTATAAACCTTGCTCCAGGTCCACTAACCATCCTCCACAACATCAGCCATCACCGCGCTTCCTCAAGGAGCTTCCCATCAGCGAATCTCCACTTCTTGCTCCTGCACTGAAACTCAGTCCACCACTGAAGTAAATGCAACCACCGGGCAACCTGTTAGTGTCTGTGGCTGCTACATGTCTACTCCTTGGGCCCACGAGAGGTGCCTCCTAGACGACCCCCAGCAAACATGTCACGGCCCTGTGTAGGGAATAACATCGATGAAAAATTGCCATAAGCACCAAAAGGCAGGGAGAACAACAAAACAAAACATTTGTGAGCTGCTCCTATCAAGTTTGAAAGGAGGACAGACATAGGGAAAGGGGGAGGAAAGCAAAGAATGCAGAGGAGAAACTACAACCTATCCAAGAAGGCAAGATAATTAACATGGACAGAGGGAAACATACCCGCGCCCCTGAACGGATGCCAGACAGAGCATTAGAAATGCCGAGCCCTCCTGACCGTTTCCCTTCCACCTGCTCAGCTGCCCCTCCAGCCCTCGTCCCTGGGACCCCCATGCCCACCCCACCCCCAGATGCTGCAGCCGCTGCTCTCCTGGCAGCGGAGCCACTGCCTGTGCGCGTGTAGCCACCCTGATGCATCTGACGGTCAGCATCAACTCCCTGCACAGTGGCAGCACCGCACAGTAAGGAAGAAAAAACATCAAATGGTAACAGGATCAGGGAACACATGAGGCATGATTCAGCTGACTGAGATACGAAGCAACAAAGGCAAACCGCCGCCACAGTACAGCGAGTAGGGTCAAGGTTGAGGAAAAAGTAGGAGCAAGAGTATGAGTCAGGGAAACAGCAGGAGATGATTGGCAGCCCTCACATCATCATCCCGCAGTGGGCTCCTGTGCCTTGGGCTCTCGATCAGCGGTGACCGACGCCGCGCCATGTCATCTGACGAGAATGAGGCATTGCAAACAAGTGGAGAAGAGCTCGTGTGGTGAGAAGGAAATGGGACCAGACCATGGTGGCGTGCGTGAAAGAATGCACACATGGTTATAGGAAGCAGCTACATGCGTCTATATGCTCATCCCTTACCCATGCCGGCATTGGCTGCTTGGTTTGCAGCCGCAGGAGCAGGAGCCACAGCTGCGTTTGCCTGGAACCAACCAGCAAAAAGACACAAAGGAGACGTCAGAGGGAGACAACAAGGGAAAGGCGCAATCCTCACAACACTAGAAGCTTCTCGGCTGCGATGCCTCATGACATACATGCTGACAAGGGAAGGCGGGAATCATGGAGACGTACAAGGAGGCGCTGGGGAGCCACGGATGCCTGGGATTGCTGATACTTGAGAATGGTCCAATCAAAGACATAGTCGAACTGGAACCCTGTCAGCCACACACACCAGAACAATAAGACTTTCAGCGGATGGTTTGTCCATGAAATTGAGCAATGCAACAATGATGGATGAAACACAGCAAAAGCGCAGGCGGGAATGCTCGAAAAGTGGTACCTTCTCGAATGAACAAGTCGCGGAAGAGACGCTTGAGGTAGGCATAATCTGGCTTGTCATCAAAGCGAAGCGAGCGGCAGTAGTGGAAGTATGAGGCGAGCTCGGTGGGGTAGCCTTTACAAAGAACCTGATAAATAGGGGTAACAAGAGGAAAGAACAAGCAAAGCAGAATGAGCAAATGCACTCCGCACAGCACGCAATAACCTTCTCAACAGCTTCTGAATACAGAATCGAATGTTTCGAAGGAGAGTACCTCAATGGGAGTGGACATCTTCTTCTCGCTGATCTTTTCATACTTCTGCTTCTTAGTCCCAGCCTTCAGCCCCTGCCATGGAAGGCTGAACAAGAAATGCAAGGAGAGATGGCAGAGGAAACAAACAGTCGGGTCAACCAGAACAAAGAGATTTAGAACAATTTCCCAACTTGCTGCAGCATTGACCACTGCACCGAATCAGCTGCCTCATAATCCCGTGCAACGTACCTTCCTCGCAAAAAATACATGAGGACATAGCCAAGCGACTCCAAATCGTCCCTTCGGCTTTGCTCTGAAATGGGGAGGTTGAGAAAGAAGAAACGTAGAATTAGTCTCACGATATTCAGGGCGGGCATAGGCGATGTGGGCGACTGGTCTCACAAGAGCAACGTGTGACATACCAATGCCAAGATGTGTGTTGATGCTGGCATACCGAGCTGTTCCTGTCAGGTTCTTGTTCTCTCTGCCCGCACAATCAGCACATGGAGAATGCATCTGTCAGCCCTCAACATGTTTAAAAGGGACGGCAGGGACATACAAAAAAACTGCACACATTGACAAAGCTACCAGATTATGAAGGCAACGCAACCAGCACAAACCTGTAAGGAATATGCTGATGCGTGGTGGGATCGCGGTATTTCTTGGCCAGACCGAAATCAATGACGTAAGCCTGGTTCGCCCGTCGTCCGAGTCCCATCAGGAAATTGTCAGGCTTGATGTCTCGATGCAGGAAGCTCTTCGAATGGACATACTCCACGCGATTGAGCTGCCAGGGTGGAACAGCGTCGGCCGAACACGTCAGTTGACAAAGTATGTCTTCTTACTCGCGTCACTATGACTCGCCTCCTGTCAGCCGCGGCTGCTACTTCACTAAACGTAAATCACATCTTACGTCTGTGACGGCTAATTATGACGTTCCGCCGTTACATCCATCCCATCTGGTCGCATCAATCACCTCGTGTACGCGACCGTCGCGGATGTGAGAAGAGCTAGCAAGCTTCGCAACCGAGGTAGGTATTCGAACTGGTGGTGTATTTATACCCGCCCCCATGCAGCCGGAAAACGACGTCTAACTGTATCTTTACAAGCGTCAAAAAGCCGATGGCTATCCAACCACCGTAAACAAAAAGTAACTAAAAAAAGGGAAGGTAAAGGGGTGTGTGCGCAGAGGCGGAATGGGCGAAACGGCGGGGGAGAGAGACCGCGACAACCGTCTGGAAACCCACCAGCTGGTCTGCAAGCATGAGCACGGTCTTGAGCGAGAACTTCCTGGCGCAAAAGTTGAAAAGGTCCTCCAGACTGGGTCCGAGCAGATCAATGACCATCACATTGTAGTCGCCTTCCACGCCGAACCACCTAATGTTCGGAATACCGGCTGGGAGTATTCAACATGCGATGATATATGAGGGACGCGGTAAGACTCTCTCAAGGAAACGCGACGCAACAGGAGCATCGATCGGGAATGAGAACTTCGCAGCAAGATCGATGCAAAGGGAGCAACGATCAAAACGCTCATTTAGATTCTGACAAGAGCTGGTAACTAGAGAAGCTGTTGCTCTACTTACTTCCACCCTGCAGAATCCTGTACAGCTTCGACTCATATAGCAGCTGAGGGTGCTTGGTCTTAGTAGATTCCTGCCATGTCAATGATCGAGCAGAATATTGTCAACTCTGCTGCTAAAAGGAATGATGACGAGACACTTGATGACGTCGCATACCAGCTTAATACCGACTTCCTCGTTTGTCTGGATGTTCGTGCCTGAAAGTCACGGGACGACGAACGTAAGTCGTTAATGGAATAAGCTCTTAAAATTCCTCGTGGTACATAAATAGTTGCTAACATACCCAGATAGATCTCTCCAAACGACCCGCTTCCAATCTTCCTCCCGAGTCTATACTTGTTGGCTATCCGAGGCTCCATCCCCGACATGGTTCCTGCTGGATTGATTCACTAGCGTACAGGTCTGCGAATCGTTGACAGCTCACCCGCCGCTACAATCAGCACGCATAGTTCCCAGAACCTAATCTGATGAAACCCTAAACTACCTATATACAAGTAATGCTTGACAAGGAGCTTTGGTTCGGCAAGTCCAAGATACGCAGATATGTATTTAGAACCTTCTACTAAACCTAAAGACCGAACTTATTTAAATCTAGAGGATCTGGATGGGATGGGCAGCCATGCACGGAAGCTGCTGATTGTAGTCCTCGAGGTTAGATGGCGTCTCGAATTGGGACACCATCAGAAGTCTGGTGGTACGGTGCTGGTGCTGGTGGAGGGTTCTCAGGGAGGGGTGAGGAGAGGATAGTGAGGACAGACTTCTTTCCTGACCTTGACTGAGGCAAGCTCACCTCTTTTTCCCCTGACAAACCACGAACCATGGTCTCCACCGCAGTCCACCCGGGCCAAGCCACACTTGCCAAACTTGGTTGCGTTCGGTCCGAACCACTCACTTTCTAGGGGAAAGCTTCCCCAAGCCAACCACCAAATTGGCCAGTGAGCCCCAAGCGGCACGATGACGGTGGCGAAAGTCGCTAACCGTCACCTGCGTCCATGTCGAACCCCGCTGTCATTCAAACGACGTCAGCTTTCTGGATCAGCTCGACCGTCAGAAATTGAAACGCAGGGGGCGGATTCGGCAAGCAAGACATATGAACTGCCGGTTGTAAATCCTTGTAACACCAATTTCTACCGTATGTGATGCTAGTTTCCAAGCATTACAAACTGCACTTATCCTTCCCAAGCAAACCCTTTCTAGCAAATCGTCCATGGGAGGAATCATGTGCTATTGCAAAAGACACAGCATTCATATTGACCTCATGTATGTGCACCACAATGTGAGTTTACCATGTTAGCTCATGTGAATGAGCCATTTGGGTTGAAACCACGAGCCATCAACGCTTACAGCATAGCTATCATATGTTGGGCTGAGAAGAGCCCTTAGGATCTTTGCAGGACTAAATTTTGAGTAGGAAAATGTAGTAGCGGAAGCGTTTAATGAAATCTTTGTGAACCACCTTGCGCTGGTATATGAGGGCAAAGTAGATTGATTAAAACAAAGAGATACAAGTTTTTGTAAGAGTACAAGGGAATATGAAGGGTTATAACTAATAACTGTTTTGCTATTGCTGTTGCGATTTTATACAATGACGACTCGGGCAACTGCTCAATAGCGAGTCAGTTGTTTGTCCTTGCTGTCGCGCTGTACTTGTCAGTTCAAAGGTCGCTGACCTTTGACTTTCGCGTAACCTCCAGCAGTTATTCAACCTCCGAGGGTTGACGCGCCAATGCTTCGATATGTTTCACTTCACTTCTGTCTTGGTGTTTTGACACGACAAAGGCGCTATATCAATTGTTTCCAACACTCCCCTTTGCTTCTGGAGTGTCGTTGCTGGTGACGTGGCTTTGTCCACCCAGCAGCATGCTGTACTCGAACTTCTGCTTCCCGAGCTTCTTGGTCAAGTAATCAGCTGCCATCTCTGACGTGGGACAGTAAGACTGTTCGAGCCTCCCCTTCTCGATCTCGTCTTTTACGAAGAAATATCGTAGGGCGATATGTTTCGTCCTGTTCGCGAATCCATTTTTGTTGGCTATGCGAATTGCCGACTGGTTGTCGCAGAACAGGGAGAAGCTGGGTAACTAAGCCAGCTTCGCTTCCTCCACAATTTCGCGAATGTACAGTCCTTCCTTGGTGGCTGAGCAGAGTGCGATATATTATGCTTCAGCTGAAGAGAGGGCGATTAACTCCTACTTACTTGACTGCCACGAGATGGGTCCGATAGGTTCGAGGCGATAGATGTAGCCGGTGCGCGAGCGTTTGTTGTCGAAGTCGCCGGCGTGATCAGCATCAACGTAGCCGATTAGTTTAGGCGTTGTAGTTCCGTTCTTGTGGTAGGTTAAGCCGACGGTCGAGGTGCTGACGAGGTAGCGGAGAGCGCGGTCGAGTTCCGCTATGTGTTCTGCTTCAGGTTTCTTGAGGTAGGTCGCGAACTGACTTGCGGAGTACGATAGATTCGGACGGCAGGTGACAGCTGTCAGATTATCATAGCTGATGCATGTTTGTAGGCTATAGTGGGGTAGCTCATATGGGGTACAGCTTTCTAGGGTTGTATTTGTACCCAACTCTGACTTAGTCATTTCATTCCTGTTTACTTGTTTCACATGGTATAGAGCGGGTCCTTCCTAAAGACCGTTTTTTTGGGCCCACCGAAGCGCGCCCCGAGGCGCGCATTTTTTTTTTCGCGACCCTTCGGGTCGCCATTGCTCTCGCGGCCCCACTGTCCCTCTGACGCGGCCCCGCCACCCCTGCTTAACGCGGCCCCGCCGCCTCCTCTGCAGCGGCCCCGCCGCCTCCTCTGACGCGGCCCCGCCGCCCGCTGATCGCGGCCCCGCCGCCGGCTCTGACGCGGCCCCGCCGCCGGCTCTGACGCGGCCCCGCCGCCCGCTGATCGCGGCCCGCCGCCGGCCCTGACGCGGCCCCGCCGCCCGCCTCGACGCGGCCCCGCCGCCGGCTCTGACGCGGCCCCGCCGCCGCCTCCTGATCGCGGCCCCGCCCCGGCTCTCTCGCGGCCTCGCCGCCGGCCCTGACGCGGCCCCGCCCCGGCTCTCACGCGGCCCCGCCGCCGGCTCTCTTGCGGCCCCGCCGCCGGCTCTCTTGCGGCCCCGCCCCGGCTCACTTACGGCCCCGCCGCCGGCCCTGACGCGGCCCCTGCCTCGGCTCTCAAGCGGCCCCGCCGCCGGCTCTCTTGCGGCCCTGCCGCCAGCTCTGGCGGCCCCGCCCCGGCTCTCACGCGGCCCCTGCCGCCGGCTCTAACGCGGCCCCGCCCCGGTTCTTTCACGCGGCCCTGTCGCACCACCTGCAGCAGTCGGGCAGCCGTGCAGCCGAGCCGCTCGGGAGCCGAGCCGCCCTACGCCGAGCCGCCCGGGAGCCGAGCCGCCCTGCCCCCGAGCCGCCCTGCCGCCGAGCCGCCCGGGAGCCGAGCCGCCCTGCACCCGAGCCGCCCTGCCGCCGAGCCGCCCGGGAGCCGAGCCGCTGTGCACCCGAGCCGCCCGGTCGCCGAGCCGCCTTTCTGCAGAGCTGCACCACCTGCCCTGCCTGGTGAGCACAGTCCCACTGCCACTGCGTGCTCTTCCCCTACTGCTTGCACTGCTTCGCTGTAGTCGCCATGGCTACCCCTAGTGTCCTAGCTTTTGACGCTGAGGGTCGCGCCATTGACTTTGAGGTCTGGTTAGACGACCTGCAGCTGTTCTTACAGTGCGACAGAGCAGACGGCCTTTCTCTCTTTGACCTCACCTCTGGCGCCTCTCCTGCTCCTGCTGCTGATGCTGATCCCACTGTCCGCTCTCAGTGGGCCACCCGCGATGCTGCTGCACGTCTTGCTGTGCGTCGCCACCTCCCTACCTCTGAGCGCGCGCACTTTAGTCAGTACAAGAGTGCTCAGACCTTGTACGACGCTGTAGTTGCGCGCTACTCCTCCCCTGCCACTGCTGCACTGAGCCGTCTCATGCTTCCCTACCTCTTTCCTGACCTCTCTGCCTTTCCCACTGTCGCTGACCTCATTACGCACCTCCGCACTAGTGACACTCGCTACCGCGCCGCCCTTCCTGCTGAGTTCTGCGCTAAGAACCCACCCCCCATGTACATCGCTCTCTACTACGTAGTCGCGCGCCTCCCTGACTCCCTTTGTGTCGTCAGGGACCACTTTCTCGCAGTCTGTCCCACCACCCTCACCGTCGAACTCCTCGAGAAGGCCCTCCTCGCAGCGGAGAAGAGCATAGTCGCTGTAGGTGCTTCTCGTGGTGACCCTCGCACCCCCATCTTTGAGGGGTGCTCTCCTTCCCCCTTGCTGCCCTCTGTTGCCTCTGCTGCTGCTGCCGACCTCCTTGGTCTTGAGTCGGTCGGCGCGGCGTCTGCCCCTAGTGGGAGACGTCGCTCCAGCAAGGGCAAGGGGGGCAAGGGCGCGGGTGGAGCTAGAGGAGGTGGTGGCGGTGGCGGCAGTGGCGGCGGAGGGAGTGGGGGTGGCGGCGGGACTAGTGGCGGGGGTGGTGGTGGCAGCGGTGGTGGTGGAGGCAGCGGCGGAGGTGGAGGCGGCGGAGGTGGAGGCGGTGGAGGCGGCAGCGGAGGAGGCGGTGGTGGTGGAGGAGGTGGAGCTGGTCGGGGTGGTACCCAGCAGCGTAGCGGCGGTGGTGGTGGCCAACGCTCGCAGCGGCAGCAGCAGCAGCGCTCGCGGGACATCCCTCCGCCTCAGCAGCTTCGTGAGTGGTACGCTGGGCGTCAGAGGGGTGGGGGTACTGGTCCCTGCACCTACGTTCTTCGTTCCGGCGACCGCGCGGGTGAGCAGTGTGGGGGTGCCCACGCCGCCCAGCGCTGCTTTGGCCGCCTGACGGACGCTTGGCGTCAGCAGTTCCCTGGGGCTAGTGAGATCCCTCGCTGGGATGAGCTTCTTAGGGCTGGTGTAGCGATCTTTGATCTTGATTTTGATGCTATCCTTGCTGCTATGTATGCTGTGACTTATAGTGAGGAGAATGAGGGTTACCGGTGTTTCCAGCCCGACCCGGGCATTGGTACTGCTGCGCTAGGTGCTTGTGAGGCTGCTGCTCTAGGTGCCAGTGCGTCTGCGCTCTCAGGTACTGGTGAGACTGCGCTCTCAGGTACTGTGTCGTCCTCGTCCTCCCTCACTTTCACACTTGACTCCGGGGCTTCTCGCTCCTTCTTTCGAGACCGCACTACCCTTACGCCGCTCGGCCGGCCGGTTGCA